AAATAAATAAATAAAAACACATAATAAAACTTTTTTAAAAATCAGGACAATTGGAAAGAAAAAAAACAAAACACCAGACTTGAGGACCTATGGGACAGATTAGAAGATGCAGACACAACTACAAACACACCCAGGCTGCTTATCATTGACAAAGTGACCAAACATGTTCACTGGAAGAAACATAGCCTCTTTAATAAATGGTTCTGGAAAAACTGGCTGTCTACATGCCAAAGAGTAAAATTAGGCCCTTGTTTATCACCATGCATAAACTAAAGGCAAAATGGATCAAAGATGTAAATATTAAATCAGAAAAACTGAATGTATTGGAAGAGGAAATAGGTAGAAATCTTGAAGACAAAGGTGTAAGTAGATCATAAACAAAACCCAGACTGCGTGGGAAATACTTCAAAGAATCAACAGCTGGCATCTCACCTTATTCAAAAGCTTTTGAACAACAAGAGAATTTCCCAATAGAGTAAAAAAACACCCCCTGGAGTGGGAAAATGTTTTATCCAATTGTTCCTCAGACAAAGGACGTCTATCTAGAATGTATAGTGAATTGAAAAAACTCAGACCCCCCACAAGTTCAAAGGCCCAATCAACCTGAAAAGGGGTATAGGTGATGAGTACACACTTCTCAGATAGAGAAATATAAATGAAAATAAATATATGAAAAAATATCCAATATCACCAGTTGCTTCGAAATGCAGGTTAAAACAACACTGAGATTATATCTGACCCTTGAAAGAATGGCTATCATCAATAAAACATACTAGAAGGGTTGTGGGGGAAAAGGAACCCTTCTCCACTCTTGATGGGAAAGTAGACTGGTGCACCCACTGTGTAAAACAATATGGTAATTTCTCAAACAGCTAGAAATAGAGGTCCCATTTGACCCAGCTATTCCCTGTTGGGAGCCATGGAAATTGGAAAATTGATCAAATGTGCAAAAGCGGGACTAGCCCTCAGTGCCTAAAATAGACAAGCTACTTCATTCATGAGATAAGCATCCTGACTGGTTAATGTCAGCTATTAGTCACTAGGCAACTTTGTGTCACATGTTACTAACTTTGCAAAGGTATAAATAAATGTCCATATTGTGACTTCTGGGGTTGTCTCTCCAACCAGGCAAACAAGTCACCCCATAATACAGCTCTTCTCTTCTTGTCTATGTTTTCCTCATTCCTGGCACCATTTCTCCCAAGCACAATAGATCACACTGAGAAACCAACAGATCCCTCCAACTCCCCTTCTAGGCATCTTCCCAGAAGAATTCAAGACATCATATCAGAGCAATATATGTGCTCCTGGGACAGCCAGATAGCTCAACGGACTAAAGTGCCTCTTAGGCAGATGCAGGGGCCAGGGTTCAAGTCCAAGATGGCCAGTCTCAAGGATAAGCTGATTGTGAATCTCCTTAAGGAGGAACAGGTGCCCCAGAATAAGATCAAGTTTGTCGGGGTTGGTGCTGTTGGCATGGCCTGTGCCATCAGTATCTTAATGAAGGACTTGGCAGATGAACTTGCTCTTGTTGATGTCATGCAAGACAACTTGAAGGGAGAGAAGATGGATCTCCAACAGGGCAGCCTTTTCCTTAGGACACCAAAAATTGTCTCTGGCAAAGACTATAATGTAACCACAAACTCCAAGCTGGTTATCATCACAGCTGGAGCTCGTCAGCAAGAGAGAGAGAACAATACTAATTTGGTGTAGTGTAATATGAACATCTTCAAGTTCATCATTCCTAATGTTGTAAAGTACAGTCCCAACTGCAAGTTGCTTGTTGTGTCTAACCCAGTGGATATCTTGACCTATGTGACTTTGAAGATAAGCAGCCTTCCCAAAAAACGTGTTTTCGGCAGAGGTTGCAACCTGAATTCAGACAGGTTCCACTACCTGATGGGAGAAAGGCTGTGCATGCACCCACTGAGCTGCTATGGCTGGATCCTCGGGGGGCACAGAGATTCCAGCATCCTTGTGTGGAGTGACGTGAATGTTGTTGGTGTCACCCTGAAGAATCTGCACCCTGAGTTAGGAACTGATGGGGATAAGGAGCACTGGAAAGAGGTTCACAAACAGGTGGTTGACAGCACTTATGAAGTGATCAAACTAAAAGGCTACACATTCTGGGCCATTGGACTGTCAGTGGCAGATTTGGCAACAAGTATAATGAAGAATCTTAGGAGGGTACATCCAATTTCTACCATGAACGAGGGACTCTATGGAATCAAGAATGATGTCTTAGGGCCGACAATATAGCTCAGGGGACTAAGCGCTTGCTTAGGCAAGCGCAGGGGCCAGGGTTTGATCCCTGGCTCTGTATGCCAAGCTGGCCCCACCCCCGGGTGCACTGAGCTGGCAATGGAGTCCGGGTGTGGTGGCGAGCGCCAATAATCCCAGCACTTGGGAGGCAGAAATCAGGAGGATCACTATGAGTCTGGGCTGTGTAGTGAGACCCTGCACACACACACACAAAAAAAAGCCTAAAAAAAGAATGATGTCTTCCTTGGTGTCCTTTGTGTCCTGGGACAGAATGGGATCTCTGATGTTGTGAAGATGACTCTGACTCCTGAGGAAGAGGCACGTTTGAAGAAGAGTGCAGATACCCTGTGGTTGATCCAGAAGGAGCTGCAGTTTTAAAGTCTTCCAGTGTCTCCACATCACTGTCTAGGCTACAGGAGAGTTTAGTTGAAGTTATGCCAGTTGTCCTTTTTATCTGATGTGTACTATTAAGATGGCTGGGGGGAAACATCAGCTTCCAAAAGTGAGAAGTAGAAACAGTTCTCAGAACCCCACAGCTTTGTCCTGGTGCCAGATGCTGCTGCACTTGTAGTCCTGGTTAGTATGAAGCAGCCCAGCATCTGAGACACCTCACTGAGCAGGCTCCAATTACTCTTCAAAAAGATGTGCATTACTCTGTTACACAGCTTTACCCACCAAGCCTCATCTGACCTTTCCCCAGTTGATGACAGCCTGGGATCCAGTGTACAAATCCAGTACTGCATGTCTTGTGCATAACTCTTTAAAAAGATTTTATTTTGTGTAATATATAATATATATGTATATATGTATATGTATATGTATGTGTGTATATATATATGTATATATATATATATATAATGTATATTGCTGTATAATGTAGAAAGATCTACCTGTGAACAGTGCAACCTAGTATCACGCCAACTACAATACCAAATAAATCTTGAACAGTGGCTACTGTTAAAAATAAAATAAAATAAAATAAAATATACAATAGAGGAGCTGGGGAGATAGCTTGGTGGTCTAAGCGCCTACCTGGCAAGCACAAAAACCCAAGGCTCAATGCTCAGTATCGCATGCCACACTGCCTGGAACTGTCGTGTGAGCCACCAAAACCAGGTATGGTGATGAACACCTGTAATCCCAGCGCTGGAGAGGCTGAGACAGGAGGATCGCTATGAGTTCAAGCTGCATAGTGAGACCCTGTATCAAATAAATAAATAATTTTAAAAACTAAAATTATGAAATAAGCTTTACAATAGATATTGTTAAATGGGAAGGAATTATTCAAAAGAAAATAGGAGAGCCGGGAAGTTAGCTCAGTAGAATAAGCACTTGCTTGGCAAGTGCAAGGGCCTGAGTTCAATCCCCAGTTCCGCAAAAAAGAAAAAAAAAGAAAAGAAAATAGGAATTTTGGATTAAAAGGGGAAAAGGTCATTATGGAAAAGGGAAAAAATGCAAGTCACTTATACTGTTAAGAGTCTCTGGGGCCGAGGAGATGGCTCAGTGGAATAAGTGCTTCCCTGGCAAGTGCAAGGGCCTGAGTTCAATCCCTGGCTCTGCCAAAATAAGTAAATAAATAAATAAATAAATAAAATAAACTCAGCATCACCCATGTTTCTCTTCACTGCCATGTGAAGAAGTGAGGAAAAACAGACACAGGCCCAGTGCCACCCGCACACCCTCCACACCCCCTTCCTCATCTTCCAAAAGCAGAGCTGGGCTCCCGCCAAGTGAATAATTTAACTTGTTCTCTTTCTAATATCTCTATGCATTTAGTCAGAATGTATTTACCTAAATCTTTGTTTGCTTATTTGTTTGTTTGTTTAAAGTGTAAACCTCAAAAATCTTTTCAGTAGAGAAGTAAAAAGTTATATTAATTGTTGAAAAGAAAAAGAGTCTCTTAGTTCATGAGAAAAGGTTTTGGATTAGAGAAATTTTTATGCTCATATCTTGTGCCCTGAGCAACTACTTTATTTATTTTTTTCCATAATTTTATTGAGAAACAAATAGCAATGAGACAGTTTTAAACCAAATTGGTAGGACAGTTTCAATAATTAACACATTGCATACATTCTTCCTACTGGTTAGTTGCTGTACAAGATGCAGACATGATATCCTATTTAC